ATGACCTCATAGCAGTTACGTTTAACCATTTGTGGTAATCTGCACTTAGTTTAAATGATCCTGGACAGGTAACCATGGTAGAATAGCGTTTCACATGTGGCTGGCTCATTGCTCATTGCTATAATTGCTATCCAAATCGTGGCTACTAATCGATAAGAAGTTGATCGGCTTTAATGATGATTAAGTAGATAGAGTCAGGCCTGGGTCTATTTTTACGGATATCGACGCATAGTGTTCAAATATTTACTCTCGCACTTCACCTGTCCTGTTTTATTATATACAGTCAAACTGTTTTGGACGTTTAAAGTTAATATTTGCTTAAGGACCTGACACTCTGGATAAGTGGTCTTCCTGGGCCTCAAATAACTAAAATAGAAATTTCTGTTATGGACATTCTGACATCAATACAGCTACCTCAGCCGTCAGTGGATCGAGGGCACTGGTGACCCAGTCATCTAAGACACTACAAATCGCTGCTCAGAGTTGCCTCCCTTAGACGTGACAGAAACCTATGACTTTGAGTTCGAGTCTCAGATTTGCCCTGATTATGTGTCTAGTCAAATCCTTTTTCGTTAAGACCAAAGACCTGCATCACTACGTGTTGTTCTCCCACATCTCACTAACACGTCATGATATACGGGTAATTGATGTACTGTTCAAAGCAGCGTTAAACTCGCTGACCCATCCACAACTATCACCTGAAGGGCGGGTTTCTCTTTTGCGAGCCAAAGTTAACCATGATTCACGAGTGGGTATCTATGAATGGGTTCAAATTTCCGTCAGGGGATTTTAAGATCAACATGGCAGAAGAGACTATTCCAAAACTGGCACCCTCCGTCAATCCGTTATTCCAAGCATATTTATTACATTAAACGTTAGATTGTTAATAATATTGATAAAACAGTCTTATCTTAGTTTCCGTGCTAAACTTGTATAAAGGAATACTGAGTTATGCAAGAGTATAATTTAATACTGTTTATCCATGTATCTTGGACATCGGCTGATGGCTTATAGTGACTTTAACGCTATAATAGTGCAATGAAGACACAGATGTCTTATAAACATTGCATGATGCATAGTCCAATTTTCTTACGGTGTATTGTATGATCCCATTATTGTGACATTAACATATTATTTCCATCTTGCTGGATATCAACTGCGGGGGGAAAGAAAGTATACACCCATGTGTGATGGTGGTTAAAAAGAAACAATCAAGAAATGGTTATTCGATAGTAATGTGTTTGATACGGGGAGCATAGTTGTGTCTTGGACCTTAAGTTTACAGCGATTGTTTTCAGCTATGTCACGTTTTGAGAAGGTTTGTAATTTGTTGGTCAATAATTGACCTAACAGTACAAAAAAATATACTATTCCCCATTTTGGTTTAATAACCGTCAACATACTATTAAAAGGTAATCATTAACTAACTACTGATCTCCATGAAAAATATAATGAGTATGTTTATGTTGTAGACTTTTTCACTTTTCATCCAAACATAGATATAGATTTCTTCTTTTTTTATTCTTGCGTAAATGAAATACACCACACATTCCGAACCAGTCTAATATACAATTACCGTTATTTGCATTCTCGATCCAATACCATTTAATTGAAACGTGTAGGAAATCGATGCAATTTCCATTGATTAGTGATTTGTATAGGAAATGGATCTCAACCATGTAATTGTCATCCAGCTCAGGTCAGCCGGTGTGCAGGGTACTCCTTGTGTCCAAGTAATGTTTTGTTTGAATTATCTGATACCTATCGCCTATAGGAATTATTCACGTTCTGGTCGAAAAGACCTCCATTATCGTGAATAATTAATTGATATATTTATCTGAATTAGGTTCATTAGTTCTACTTGATCAAATGTCATTTCATTGAAACCGAATCCACCTTCTTTAATCAATTCAGTCTAACTTATGAGAGGTACTTTGACAAATAATATTGGTATTTTTGAAACCGTTGACCGATGTAGTTCATATAAACTGCTGGGCAAAAGAATGTAAGCACTTATGTTTGGTGAAACAAACAAGAAATGGTCATTCAATGGTGATATCGATACATTTGATACAGTAACTTGTATCTTACTTGTTTTGGGGTCTTACGTATACAGTGTTTCGGCGACTGCTTTCAGACTAGTAACGTTTTGATAACATTTGTAATCTTTGGGCCAAATCCAATTTTCAAGTGTATACTTTCTTTTGAATTAAATGAATAATCGATACATTAAATAAGGTGTATAATTTCAACTAATATTTTCTCTGACAAATGTTGTTTCTGTGACAGAAATAGTTATCTGCATTTAGCGTGGCTTTGTTGTAGTTTATAATTGATCATTTTGCACGAGGACATCACGGAACTGACTTACTTCTCCGGGGAAAGGTAATGGCAATCGAACGTTCCCATTATTTGTAGAGCATTATGAAGATCTAAACTCAATTAGCGAAGAACTGCCCTTGTTTTATACGGTCCATAAAACACTTTGTTATGTTTAACACATCTACAGGATATGTTGGTTGTGTAAGCAAGCTTTTTGCCTTTCTATTCAAGATACGCATGTAACGACAGAAAGTGCCTTAGAACTTATCTACACATAACCAGGGCTGGCAAAGGTTACTGAACAGAGGCAATATTGAATTATATGTGTCGGAAAAATAGTTTCTTCTCTTTCGATTCACGACATTCAGTATGACTTTCAACATGTACATAAACACTCTCTGAAAGAGTGTATGGATTTTTCATTCCATGTTCGTTTTGCACTATAAAATGCGGGAAATGCGTCACTTTAGGAGTAAAAGTTAAAACACCACTTAATTGACCAATTTCCATGTGTACATTTGATGTTTAACGTCGCTCTCAGCAGTATTCCAGTTGTATGACGGCGGCGATTTCGATTTTCAAACAGGCAATATTATTTGTAAATCTTAAACTTGGTCAATACCATGATATGACCACCCTACCTTTAAAATCAATATAAAATCCATTCTCACACACGCATGAAAGACTGATTGATATGACCTATTGACAATGTTTGACGTATTTGTATTGAAAGTACATGTTCGAGTTTTTAAGTGACAGGAAAATAAAAAGTCTTTAATACCTTTAAGTAAAAGTGATTGATACCCAACTGTACGGCATGGCACGGAATATTAATACGAATTAGATTTTCTATTGTCGGATACCGCAAACTACTTCCTGTATGGCCATACTCTTGCACATATTCCTGTCCTTGTGGTGTTGGCAGTTGTAACATTCTTTGCATGACATTTTCCTCTTCCAACGTGTTCGTGGATGACAGGCTTTGACGCTGCTGCTACAGTTTAAGGAACTTTATAATACATAAAAGGCCCTCTATCAACTTTTCTGTGAAAAATGTAGCTTCTTAAGTAAATAAAGCCTTTACATGTTCACAAGACATCTCTGCCAAATGCAGAATCGGTTGTAAAATTCCGACCATACAAAAAAGCATGAGGGTATGAGGAACTCGTAAGGGTTCTGGTCCAGTGCGCCATGCTTGTCGTAAGAGCACACTAAACCGGGGATCAGGTGAAGGTGAGGTGAAATGGGGTTTAACGTCGCGTCCAAGATTATTGCACTTATATAGCGACGTGCATGCACGTGTGTGTCTGTGGCTGCTTGTACTAGTCCGGACTGATGCCGATTTATAGTGCTAGCTCACTGAGAAACCATGCCGCAGTTTAACATGAATACCCCACTCAGACACGGTAAACTGACTCTGAGCCGACTAGTCCTTGTTTTAGCCCCTTAATGTCGAGCGCCAGACAAGATAACAACAAATACCATCTTTTAACGTCTTTTGGTATGACGCGGCCGGGGATCGAACCCCGGACCTTCCGCTCTCCGGGCGGACGCTCTACCACAAGACCACGAAACCGGGGATCAGGTGCCCAGGCTAAGAGACTTATCTGTTATAGTTTTAAGATGGCTTGGATCGTTGCTCATGATATTAACCTATAGTTTGTTTAGTCCTGATTTGACGTTATACATACCGCTAGAAAATAAGATAAATCACATATTGCCCTATTGGTACAATCCTTTGTGAGTGAAGGTCGAGGTCACGGCACATCTGACCCCCGAAACATAATACCATCGCATTTGTCATAATTTGATGGAAAACATTTTTTCACAGTAAGTTTTAACCACAGATAAGGTAAAAGTTTTAAAACTGTGATATGAGATACCATTCGTACAATAGCCACCAGAGAAACTGACGTCACTAAACCGTTATTTTTCCCCTAAACATCAGTGTTTATTACCGTCAGTGCCACAGGGGTATTCATATTTGTATCACTAAATCCTATCTTTAGTCGTAAGTAGGGAAATTTGCGTACCTTAATTGACACTTTGTACGCTTTATTAACGACATAGCTTCTTCTTTGTTCCAGTAAACTCATCAGGGGCTTTCGCAAACTGTTTAATTAGTCGTATTGATATATTACGTATTACATGTCTTTTCTTCCGAAATACTGCATCGCAATTCGCTATGCATAGTTGCGTCACATGGTCCTTCCAGATCCCCTAGTCCTGGGTTCGAATCCTAGATTGCTCCAAGTTATGATCCTTTATCAACAGTGGGCAGCATCATTCTCGTGTTTGCTTTCACAAAGTGAACACTTACGACCTGTGTCAATTTCGGTTTTCCTCCTGTTTTAAAGGAAGCCAGGGAACGCTATCTAAATTTGGAAGATCTGAAGTAATACGTGGCCTCAATGCATAACAATGGAATTCCCTTTCTGCACTTAGAACCAGATAATACAGATTTATAGAAAATATCCGTGCTAAAACATAGCACGATAACGTGAGCCTCGTTGTGGAATAAACAGCGATAGGAATGACCGCATCCATATTATCATTCGTTATCACTCGTCTCTTTCCGTTACCTGCAAGAAGACATTCAGCTCGTCCCGGAATGACACGAGTGGTCCCGAATGTCATTGTATGACTAACATATCTCACATATACCTTGTGTCTTCCAGGTGGAGCGCGTGACGGTCAAAGGGATGACAATCAGCATAAACAGGGACTGCACCGCCGAATGCAAGTATGGCTGCAGAGCCATCGGCTACGGCGTCACACAAATCAGATGTATATCCTGTTGTAGAGAAAACGCCTGCAACACCGACAACGTGGGCAGTAGGACAAGATTGAGTCTAACGACGTTAGCAACAATGATGTGTTTATATTTCACAGTGACCCACGTGGTGAGGTAGCGTACAAGACTGTACGTCACAACTGCGAAAACAGAGGTCAAAGGAAAAGGTTCTTTCGACGAGGGCATTTTAACAGTGTATAAGTGTGTTACATACGTAACATGACCTTGACATTTCACAAAGGAAACGCACTTCCGTAGCAGCCAACAGGTGTATTTCAAGGTTTAGTCAATAGAATACAAATGCATGGTACATTGTGAAAATATATAGTACAAGCTAAGACAATCAGGATGTGTTTGCATCAAACAGTGTCATTTTCATTTAAAGGGAAGTTTTCTTTAATTACATAATGTAAGATATACATGCCATCACCGTCTTCTTGATCTAAATATAATTGCCACCTCGTGCTAGGTTTTCTAAATTAGAGTATCTGACATATTTCTGTTGCTAAAATCCTTCGTGGTGTAATATGTAATGTCGCAATAAGGACAGAAAGTGGCACAGTATTATTTGTAACTTCGCAAACATCAATAAATTGTGCCCTAACATCTTCCCCAGGCAAGGGAGTTAACTGATTATAAAAGTCACGTGGAAACTGGACTTTTATAGTCAGTTGACCCCCTTGCCTCGGGAAGATGTTAGGCGTGCCAGAATCTTTGATCCTAGGTTCGAATCCCCGATTCGCCAAGATTATAGTGGATCTAGGTTTTCCATGGCCAGCACCAAACCCGTGCTCATGGTGGATTATTTGAGACTTCGGGTTTTGCTCCCACACCATGCTGGCACGCCGTGATAGAACTGAAATACTGTTCAAAGAGGTCTTTAACCATAGCCACTCATCCTCTTTCGTTAGGGGCGGTGGGGTAGCCTAGTGGTTTAAGCGTTCGCTCGTCACGCAGAAGACCCGGGTTCGATTCCCGACATGGGTACAATGTGTGAAGCAAATTTCTGGTGTCCCCCGCCGTGATATTGCTGGAATATTGCTAAAAGCGGCGTAAAACCATACTCTCTCTCTCCTCTTTCATGTGAATGTGAATTGACAGAGGTTACTCTTGCAACTGCTCTCTCGTCTACAGACGAAATATGACCTTCTTGTTCGATCTACACATACAGCGAAACATTAGCAATTCGAAGTCTTGTGGACCATCGAACATCAGTTGAGCTATGGGTATTTCGAGACAAGCCGACTGTCGATATTTGGTAACGATGAAGCTTCAGCCGGGACGACATAGTTAGATCATCACAAACAACATATCGACGTAAGGGAGGTTGACAAGGTTTCCAGTTACACTTCACCACCTTTAAACGTTTAGATGCAGCAGATAGTGCTATGTCAATCTGGATGCATGACGTACATAGAAAACTTTTTACTTTTGTCATTTCGATGTTAAAGGTAGATATCATTTAAAGGTAGCCATCGAGTCATTCCAAAATTCTAGAAGACCTAAAGTAACACGTGACCTAAGTACGTCACAATGGATGTTCCTTTCAGCACACGAAACCAATATTATGTCTGCTACGTTCTTTTGTAAGAATACCACTGTGGGAAAAACAAATAGCATGATAAAATAAACCTCGTTTCAGAATTAAGCAGCCCTTGGAAATAGCGCTCGATGACTACCTATAATATATATTCGTAAGGGGGTCATGGAAGAGTACATAAAGCATCCTTAATAAATAATTAGACTGTATATATGAATATGATGCACTTGTTAAATTATCCGCATATTTAAGAACATGAATGTACCAATTATCAACTATTTTCATGCATTATGTATTTGCGATACATGATCATTTACGATCATTTGCCAAAATGGACACTGAGATTTCACTGAGAAGATAAACACAAACCGTGGATGCTTACAACAGTTGTGTTGAAGGGAAGGCTCTATAGCAATACATGTCTTCGCCCATCATCTACCGTGTGACCAGTGTCTCCGATTCATGTCTCTTTGTACCGATTGTCAGTAGTCCATAGTTCCATTCAAATGTGTATAGTATCCTAAAAAAACAATGTCATGATTAGATTAGTGCATTGAAACTATGCCAATCCAGAAACCCCGGAAGATCGACATTTAATTCCGTTACAATAATTTGTCATTTGGAACATTACCGTCCAATTAATAGGGTTTCCCTGTAGTCACTATCAGTCTAATTTATTGGAACACACCAGTACGACACGTATATTGTATATATAGGTCAGTGATAATATATGAAACTGATTTATGTGATATAATAAAATCAGACCATGTCGAAAGTTGTTGGGTTTCTTTCTGCGAACGCACTCACATGTATACAGACACCAAACACAAATGCACACACTCTCACACACACACTCGCTGAGACAAATACACTGTAATATACTGAGGCAAATACAGACACACACTCAGACAAATACAGACACACACTCAGACAAATACAGACGCACACTTAGACAAATGCACACATAACCTGAGACAAATACACTGTAATATACTGAGACTAATACAGAAACAATGAGACAAATACAGACACACACTTAGACAAATACAGACGCACACTCAGACAAATGCAGACGCACACTCAGACAAATACAGACGCACACTCAGACAAATACAGACGCACACTTAGACAAATGCAGACGCACACTTAGACAAATACAGACGCACACTCAGACAAATACAGACGCACACTCAGACAAATACAGACGCACACTTAGACAAATGCAGACGCACACTTAGTCAAAACAGACGCACACTCAGACAAATGCAGACGCACACTCAGACAAATGCAGATGCACACTTAGACAAACACAGACGCACACTGAGACAAATACAGACACACTCAGACAAATACAGACGCACACTCAGACAAATACAGACACACACTCAGACAAATGCACACATAACCTGAGACAAATACAAAAAATCACACTGAGATATACTGAGACCAAGTGGTGAGAGGTATATATACATTATATGTTGTGATGAGCAGCAGATTAACAATAACAACAACGGGTAACGGATGTTAAGTAGCACACAGATAATTGGATGAAGCCAGATGTACATTAAAACCACCAAAATGACACACAGGTAATGAAGCCAGATATTCAGTGAGAATTAACAAGTTAAACAATCTGATACGAATTAAATGCTTGAACAAGCTAACAGGGTCTAATCAAAAATACATATACACAAACACAGACACATACACACACACAGATCTCTCTCACACACACACACACACACACACACACAGGCACACACACACACACACTGAGGCAAATGCTCATGTTAATGTTTAGTGTTATATGGCTTCAAAGGCTGGCTCGCTGGCACCTGGAGATCAATGTTCAACTGCCTCCCACGTTGTGCACTGACGTCGATAATGCAAATGTCTTCATGAAAGTGGCAACCTGAATTACATTTGCTTCAACAGTAAATTGTTTACGTCTTCAGTTGGTGATTGAATACACAGGTTTATCCTATTTGTTTATACCTTTACCTTGGGGTTGGGTGATATTTTCTTGTTTGGGGCCTATTAAGTTGCTATTCTGGGTTTGATTTCCTTATGTACGGTAAGTATTTATATTTCTTTTTCTTCTCTCATTGCCAATCAGTTCTGTTCAACCCTGGAAGACTTTGGATTTAACGTAGAGATGGGTGGGTTAGTCCTTTGTAGTTAACTAAATACAGGTGCATCCTCATTAATGCAGAAGCTTTAGATTCCCAGACGTTCATTGTAGTGGGTGATTTGGGTTTAACGGCGCTTTTAATAGTGTTGCAGTTATATCACAACGTGTGGGCCCGAAGTGATGCAGGTCTCAGACGTTTACCGCGTTGGTGTTATCGTGTTGGAGCACGGGTATGGTGCTGACAAACCTAATCGGGTCGAAAATATAAACATAATCGGGGCGAAACGGGATTCGAACCCACGATCATAGGTTTCTGCCAAAGGAACGCAACTCTGCAAAGATAATTCCGGCTTCGAAGACGATTGGGCCACCCGTGTCCCCGGAGGCTCAGTATGGATGTCAGTGATTTAAGAGAATCCTCAAAGGCAGCAAATGTCTTTTATCAAGCTTTACAGATTTAAATATGACAGAAACAGTTGATTTAGATATCAATAACTGACCTGAGACCATTTACATACGGTAGGCCTCTATACATCGTCAATAGTTCCCAGATTGTGTATACACAATATGTTCGCCATCAGTCGCAATGAGCCCTACTCCATGCATGGACATTGTGCGAACCCTACCGGTGCCTGGCACTGAAGCAGTGTGTTGAGCAGATGACATCAAAGCACGAGAAATATTGTAAATCGGAGCTCTCATTGATCTGGTTTCCGCACGAGGCTGGAATTAGGCCGTGATTTTATTCGATGGTCAAATTTGTTTGTTTGTTTGTTTGTTTGTTGTTTAACGCCGCACTCAGAAATAATCCAGCTATGTGACGGCGGTCTGTAAATACTCGAGTCTGGGCCAGACAATCCAGTGATTGACATCATGAGCATCGATCCACGCAACTGGGATACGATGTCATGCATCAACCAAGTCGGGGATCATGACCCTCCCTTACGACAAGCATGGTCACCTTTTACGACAAGCATGGTCACCTTTTACGACAAGCATGGTCACCTTTTACGACAAGCATGGTCACCTTTTACGACAAGCATGGGTTGCTGAATCTAGTTACTACACCGCAAATCGGCCTATGTATCCATGGGTGATGAGGGGCGTAGTGTATAGTATTAGTATTACAAACCCGTGATGTATTGATGATGGCCTCAACAACCTGGACAAATTGATATAATTCTATACCGGTACATATTCAATATATGTTCTAGTAGTGTTCCAATTCACTAGAATAGCTTCTAAAAATGTCAAACGAACAACAATGGTAGTTTTCTATTTGTACTCCAGTTGAACTTTTTTTATTAGCCTATCTACGGTACAATGTACCTACCAACCCGAAGGCTGCTGTGTGCGTACATTCTGACACGCTCCAGTGTACTGTTTCAGCTGAAATATTGATACCTTTATAAGTGAAACAGTACCAATTGACCTCTTGAAATTGTTACCCCAGGCATTTAACATGTTCGGTTGGAAACAGTACAGGTAAGTATCAGGTTACGAAGATCAAAGTTTAATTGTATCTTAAACATCCACCATCCGCTTGGGGACATGTCATGTTATGCTCAGAGGGCACGGGGTAAAGGTACGGGAAGGGTTAAAGGTGCTGCAGAGTTGCGTCCCTGTGGCGTACCAGGATCATACGTTCGAAACTCATATTTGCCCTGATGAGCACAATCCCACGATGATAAACGTCTACGACCTGTGTACCGCGTCGGGCTTTGGACATATATAAATTAGACACGTGATATACATAGGTTTTCATATACTATCCCTGTTAGTTTGTTTGTTAGTTTGCCTATAGGTCGGCCCTTGAAGACGCCGGGGTAGAATATGGCTTCAGCAACCCATACTTGCCGTAAAAGGTGACTATGCTTGTCGTAAAAGGCGACTAACGGGATCGGGTGGTCACGCTCGCTGACTTGGATGATACATGTCATCGATCCCAATTGAGTGGATCGATGCTCATGATATTAAGCACTGGATTTTCTGGTCCAGACTCGATTATTTACAGACCGCCGTCATATAGCTGGAATATTGCTGAGTGCGGCGTTAAACTCATATTAAAAATTGCTGGTATGCGGAGCGTATCGGTTGTGCATAAACAATGATCAAGCTGATATCGATTCGCTCAATAGTCATGAATTACAGTTCAACTGAACTAGGTCATTTACAATTTTGCACCTTGGCAGTTATCTGTCACTTGTCTTGCAGTTTGTACACAAACAATTAAGATTCACTTATGCACAATATTTAACCGTGGGTGGATCAGTTGCGGTTAACACCTGATTGAACAGTATTTAAATTCTATGACTGCGCGTCAGCTTGTGTGAGAGAAAAGTTCGAAGTGATGCAGGTCTTAGACGTTAACCACAGCACGAGTATGGTGCTGACAACCCAGGAAACACTTTCAGGGCCATAATCAGGCTTCGAACCCATGATTATAAGTACCTGGGACCCGTTCCACAAAGCCATCTTAGCCCTACGACTGACTTAAGCCTATGTTAAAGTATATTGGAACTACTATCGTCTTAGGGATATGGTCGCTTCGTGGAACGGGACCCTGGCACGACTAAAGGACACAACAAATCGCGGCACCTTACTGGACTCTCCCAGACCCTAGAGAAAATTAAAAATGAGCCCAACTCAAGTCTAGAATGATTTGGCAAGTCTAGATGGCCTCAGCTCTAGGATCTGTCCAGATCTGCAGGGTTCACAGGCGAGATTCTGGCTTATATCAGTTATTTTACCAGTTAATCTGCCACCCACCAGCTGATGTGGGTGACCCACTAACACCCGGGATTGGACTGGAACCCTCTGTCCCATGTCTAAACTTAATGAATGCCACCTGTGGGAGTTCCCATTTACACAATATACTGGGTTTAGGCTTTGAAGAGGAAGCGTCCCTGCATTAAATCAAGGGGTTTTCTCGGCTCTATTTGGATTTTATTTTTTAATTTTGTCGATATATATATTTTTATTATTATTTGTAGGACTATTTAACGTTAGTCTAGACTGGGCCACTCGCACCCCTAGATCAATGCTCCTTTGATGGCTACGTCTCACAATCATTGGGTGGAAGTTCTCGTTATGGTGACTTCAGTATGGCGTTAGTTAGCAAATGTTTTGATCAAAGATATTCCTTATGGATATATATTCCACAACAAAGAAATCTCGTCCTTTAAGGTTGAAGAGGTCACATAATGTTCCACAGATGTTATCTCATCTGTACTTATACTTCCGAGGCAGGATCATTACTTTGGAACAATCTTCAAAGCCAGCTCAAACAGATAGCTTAAAGATTCTTCTTTTCAGACAGGCCTTGCCTTTTTCCTCCTCGTCGCTTTTGAAGAGTTATTGCTAACTGAGGTGAGGTGAGGTGAAATGGGGTTTAACGTCGCGTCCAAGATTATTGCACTTATATAGCGACGTGCATGTTTGTGTGTGTGTGTGTGTGGCTGCTTGTACTAGTCCGGACTGATGCCAATTTAAAGTGCTAGCTCACTGAGATACCATGCCGCAGTTTAACATGAATACCCCACTCAGACACAGTATACTGACTCCGAGCCGACCAGTCCTTGCTTTAGCCCCTTAATGCCGAGCGCCAGACAGGGTAACAACAAGTACCATCTTTTAACGTCTTTTGGTATGACGCGGCCGGGGATCGAACCCCGGACCTTCCGCTCTCCAGGCGGACGCTCTACCACTAGACCACGGAGGCGGTCCTATTGCTAACTGAAGACAACTCTCCACCAATCGCTATTAATAGTAGTGGTAGTAGTAGTAGTAGTAGTAGTAGTAGTAGTAGTAGTAGTAGTAGTGGGTGAGTGAGATGGGTTTAACGCCGCTTTAAACAGTATTCCAGTTATATCACGGCGTGTCAACTTAACGTGGGAGGAAAGCCCGAAGCGATGCAGGTCTCAGGCGTTTACCACTTCGGTGAAACCCAAGAGCACGGGTATGGTGCTGACAAACCTAGAAACAAAATCGGGGCGAATCTGGATTCGAACTCACACTCATACGTTTCTGGCGTGTCCAAGGGACGGAACTCTGCACAGCGAATTGCGGCCCCTTAGACGACTGGGCCACCCGTGCCCCCAGTAGTAGTAGTAGTAGTAGTAGTGGTAGTAGTAGTAGTAGTAGTAGTAGTAGTAGTAGTAGTAGTAGTAGTAGTAGTTTCAAAACTCGAAATTTAATTTTTTACTTTTTTTCTTCTTCTTTTTCTCGTTATTTCAAATTTAATTAAAAAACACGAAATTTCGAGAAAATAATCGAACAAACGAGAGAAAATTCGAAATAAAATAAAAACTGAAATAACGAGAAATTTCGATTTAAAATAAGAATTATGGTACCAAAGTGACACCATTAGGCTTTCGTCGAAGCATGCATGTGAGGAGGACGAGTGGTCTATTGATAAGACGTTCGTTCATTCGATGCCTTAATGCCATTCTCCCGTCGTAGTATCCCGTCGTAATGTCGTATACTAAACTAAGGCCCAGTGCGGCTCATGGTTCAAAGATCATATTGATCCTCCATAATCGCATTCCCAGACACACGATTAAAACTTTAATACTTTAAGTGAACGGCGTGATTCCACCATAGCGAATGTTCAAGCTAACTGTTAAAGTTTTGTTCTGAAGCGCTGGGAATCCCCCGAGGGTAGGAAAACCAATACCCTTGTCAAGTAAATATTGTAAACCATTAAGTGAAAACACAATGAAGGACAGTCAAGATGTATGGATGCTTTCAAAGACGGGTTGATACCTGTGTTGGTGTGTACGCGTGTAACAAAGAACTTATATCAACTGTTTAGCTTATTCGCTTAATTTCATTTTATAATCTTTGTATCAAAGAATATATGTACGCTTCAATGGATACCTGTATCTTGTATTATTTAAGAATTGATTTCACTACTTCCTTGCGTTTATGGTAGTATAAACGTAGAAATCGTTGTGCTTGCGGGCAGCGGATTTACGCCAAGTATGAACACCGGGTTTTACATTCTTAACTCCATTAGTGCAAAAACATTTTGAAATCAATTCTTATATCTAAATACGTCAACAATAATACTTCACACTCTGCGTATTTCATCATTAACACACACAAAACCGTTGACAACAGACGAAATCTGTGACATCGTTCTCGCCATTCTCGGCCAATTAGAAAAAAGTGGCCTGTTTTTTACGGTTTATGGAAACACAAATCCCCAGAACGGTTCTCAAATCAAATGCCACGACCTAACTTGTAATTTATTTATGCTGTATTTCTGTCAAACGTTGTAACAGCAAAAGCATACATTGTGATAGCATTATGATGTTACACTGTGGCCACTGTGTGTTTGTTTTCATTTTCTGTAAACGAATATCTCATCTATAATAAACCTCTTGTAGTTTCTTTACGACCGCAAAATGTATCTATTCTAATGCTAAGCGCCCATAATCCATCACTGAAGTGCGCAAATTTATTCCCATGCTCCAAAGGGATGACCCCAACGTCTATGTATACGATTATCCCAACGTCCGTGTATACGATAATCCCAACGTCCGTGTATACGATAATCCCAACGGCCGAGTACACGACGAATCTAGTGTAGCCATGCATACCTTGACGCCAATCTCTTGGCCCACGGAGCTTCAATGAGATTCAATGGGACAGGTGCTCGTCGTATAATAAATTAGAACTACTACAACTTGAGGCAACTAGAATAGTAACATGGTTAACTAAATTTCCCCAATTAGGCCAATGGAATAATCTATCATGAGGAATCAGGGATAGTCCGTCAATATCTTATTTTAAAGCTGTCGCATCTGAGCAGCCTACACCACCACCTATGCACTATAATTGCGGTAAGAGATCTACAAACATATTGCACACTAGATTGAAACACAATTGTAGCACACTAAATTCCGACCTGTTTCGTGTTAATTTATCTGATACTATTTCCTGTAAATGCGGAGCTCCTTGTGAAAATTCATTCCATTTCTTCTTCGAATGTACCTTATATGATGATTTTAGGGAGATATTACTGACAGCTATCGATAATCTTGGAGGACAAAAAACTCTACATAGTATTCTTTTTGGTGATCCAAACTTAGATGTTTTCCTGAATGCAAAAATATTCTTGTCTGTACACAAATTTATAGAAACGACTAACAGATTCAGTAGCTAGCAAATTATTGTTTCCAAACTGTTAATCATTAATATTGTTAAATCTATATACAACACTAAAATGTATAATATTAGGATATGTATGAGATGCACACTGTCTTCACTTTCCAGCACATTGTACATATCCTTCATATGAGCACTGTATATATATTGCGCACTATGTTTCCACAATGTGAAGCTTCAACTGTAAATTGTTCATTTTCATTATGCAATATTATGTATAACTGTATATATGGAGAAGGCGGTAATAAGTGCTGCATTTGTGCCCAATCCCTTTGTCTTTTCGGACAATAAAATATGTTTAATAATAATAATAATCATAATCATAATCATAATAATAATGAGATTCCCCAGCTCAATGAATACGCCACAAGCACCAGTCATTGTGTCCACACGATCCCCTTTGAGGCTATTTTGGTACTGCCACTGTCCCTTTATGATCACCGTTTCAAGTAAAACCAGAAAACGCCAATACAATTGAAAGACAACACTTTTATTTTGAGAAACAAAACAACACATTGAAAAATCTATGTATATGAAAATATTTAACAAAACGGTATAACATGTGGAGGCAAGATATTTAAGATGCAATACAGTCAACATTGAGCCAGTTTGGTATTTGAAGTTGTCACTATCAATATTGAGCCAGTTTTGTATTTAAACTGCGATACTGTCAATATTGAAGCAGATTGGTATTTAAGCGGAGATATTGGCAATATTGAGCTTGTTTGTAATATATTTGTGGACACTTATCCGTACACATGTTAAATTTTCATATGGCACTTTGGTGAAACGTTGTCATTACTGTTTAACTACAACGCTAACTTCATAAACACGTTTCAAGGTAAAGACTATATGAATAAGGAGGACACCTTGGACGTACTACAAATGGCAAAACCTCATCCACATTTTTGAGAAAAACTGAAGAATCAATTTTCAGTTATAAAATTATATTTCATTATGAAATGTAGAGACACAAGTAAATTGACACATTGGTGGAAGGTTGTCAATTTCCACTGCAATAAAACAAGAGAGGATACTCAACCCAATGACGCTATCCCTATATACACGCTATGTGTATAGACCATTTTCAACAGCACAGCAACAAAGTTATTAAAATATTAAATGAAATATGCACTGTTGAAACGTAGCAATCGTAATTATGTATTAAATTGTCATTTATTTTGAAACTTGAAATAAAAGGGGCTGAAATGACGTATGTGCAACACGATTAGATCGTTAATATTATGACAAGGAAGGTTATAGATGATTATGCATTGGTCAATTGTATGTGCACACGCCATCATTACCAAAAATACTTTAAAACGTCGATTTAATTAAATTAAACTAATCCCCATCCCTCATCACCTCTCCAGCAGAAGTCATGTCTCCAGCATTTGTACCACTCCTTAGCTACAAAACTCATATGGTCTGTCACATCTTTACAACGTAGGTCTTAACAAAATGTACACCTACACCTTACCATCTCGCGGTATACCATCTACCTCTGTACTATCTCCTCCCACCCTGGGACCCGTGCCATCCTCCCACCCTGACCCCATCCACCACCCTCACCCCATCCGCCGCCATCCCCCCATCTTGTCTATCCTGTCGTGCAGCCAGCGAGGTGTTCCCAGTTACATGCGTTGACCTTGACATCCCAGTGAAGCCCGCTAGGACACCCCCTAGAGTGACGTTGACCTTCGTGGCACTCTATGTACTTCTTGCAGTCAGCATGATCAGGGAAGTAATGGTGCCCTCTGCTTGGGCATTCGATGACTGAAAAATAACAGAGGTTAAATGTACACCTGGTAAAATATAAAGCACCACTTTTCTTTATTTTCATATATCTACGTATACTAAGAGTCTCATTTTGATCATTTAAACGTCGAGGACTCCACTGATACCTGCTGAAAGGTTAGTACAGAAACACTGTATCTTTCTCCATTTGGTCGCAAATACTGAGTCATATGAGCAATAGGAAGAGTGGTCAAATAACTATTGCTTACGAAGCAATGTCAGTAGATAATCGATTACAGTTTCTGTATTTCAATAAGAGTATGTCACTTTGAAGACAAAAAGCAAATGTGGTTCGTAAGAAATAAAATACTGGATATTATTGTTGTTAATAATATACATATTCATTTGTATTTGCTAAGATGCAGGACCTTCCCTTTGGAACAATCTCCCACTTGGTGTAAGATCAGCTGCAGAAGTATGTACTTTCAAGTCCAGATTGAAGACACATCTATTCAATGCATCTTCCCGAGGCAAGAGAGTTAACTGACTATTAAGGTCCAGTGTCCACCCTTGCCGAACTATGTTGGTATTATTGAGTTACATTTTGGCTGGATTAACGAGTCTATGCATAGTCCAATTAAAATCGCGCAACGAAATCCGGTTCGTAAACCATCGTGCGTATATCGGTCGATTGCAGGATTTACAAAGCATGTGCACCGGCAACCTGTTGTCAACAAGTATTTTCCAAATCTTTTTATGTTTTTTATCAAGATGCTCGCGTGATTTAATGCACTTTGTGGTGTAATACCGGTTCTATCACAATATAGATCTTGATTATCGATCAGATCGTCTTGATTGGGCGCCGCCATTTTGTTTGAAGCAAATGCAAGTGAAACGGGAGGTGGAATCTGATTGGTCCATAGGTGAGGCATAGAAGGGACATTACTCGTAATAGCCACTGGTGGCGCTACGATTGAGCCCAGGAATTCCAGCCTAGTTCGGCAAGAGTGGAAACTGAACTTTTATCGTCAGTTAAATCTCTTTTCTCGGGAAGATGATTCAATGCAGCCTCCAACATGTCTGTTCAGACTCGATATATATATATAGCATACGACTATTGTCCACATAAATAATGTCACGAAAAATATCAGAAATGATGATCCCACTGTATGGCATTTTGGTATTTGTTTTCAAATTTTCCCGATACTGCTGGTACTGTGTTATCAAATTTTCCCGATACTGCTGTGTATAACATTGTGTATGTGGCCTTCTACTTACATCCTCCATCAGGTACGAAAGGCTGGACACCAGGTGTCTGACGGTTGGTGGCAACAGTGGGTGAAGGTCTAACGGCACCCCCGTTGGGCTGTGGACGTGGTGTTCTGCGCCGGGGAGAGGGTGTGTTTCGGACAGGCGGCCGTTGGGTGGGGGCTGGCATGACCACGTTGCCCAACTCCTCTATAGCGGCGTGGATGAGCGGGTAGCTACGGGTCGTGTAGTTACACATCTTGTTGAAGTCATCCAGGGCTAAGGACCACACCATGAAGCCTCCAAAACCGTTCTGCTTCATCCATTTAGTCTGCAAGGAGTGAGTGAATGAGTGAGGGGAAAGATGAAAGTGGGTATTTCAGTTTAATCAGTTTGACGTGGGAGGAATGCCCGTGGTGATGCAGGTCATATGGGGAAACCCACAATAGTGGATATGATGCTGAAAAACCTGGAAACATAATCATGATGAATCTGGTATTGGAACCCACTATCATAGGTAGCTGTCAAGCCTAAGGGATGCAACTCTGCACAGCTAATTGTGGCGCCTTAGGCGACTGGGCCCCCGTGCCCTTGTATGCAAGAATATGGTTTATTCTGAAAATGTTACATGGATTTTGTTTTCTGTGGAACATGATCTGTATTACCTACACGAAATTCGTTTCATCGAATGAGTATGGGATGCTGTAAGGGACATTATTTTCAAATAATCTCTTTCTCGTTTCATATACGTTTTCAACACTTCTACCGTTTGAACTGTTTACAAAAGGTTGAGAGCGGGATAATGCCCCTTACAGTATTCCATAGAAAAGTACTTATGGTTGAGTGAACCAATAAAAATATCGAATCTGAACATCCGTCGGACAAGAAAGAATGGGTTTGAAATTAATTAATACGGTCAATATTGGTATTCACATAAAAACCAATATATCGATTACTGTGCATACAGCTTGTAATTGTACGTTATGAAATACGTAAGTGTTGCGTCTTGATATGCATTGATATATTGATCTGCAAAGGCCTGGGATACATTAATTATGTGTGTGTAGTTTATGATAAATATTTTGGCATCAATTTTACCTTCGCCTTTATGCTGCGCTCGTTGTCATAGCCAACCCAGAAGTTGCCCTTAACATAGAAGGGGACCTCCTGGTCTGTGTCGTAGTAGACGGTGCCGCTATGGTCGCCGTTGAAGTCGTTGTCGATTTCCATGCAGATCTGGTCACATAAAATACAGTTTAACATGACCATTCACACACACACAGGACGGGTTGTATGTGTTAGCTATGGGTACTTCATAGAATGCTGTGTCTCTTCAAAGCGTCCCCTAGTTCAAGTCCACCGTGTTGGATGTGAATGTGTTTCCGCAATGTATCTCTGCCAAGCGTTCAAGGAATCAAACTAACAGTGTTTAGAATACCCCCGTTCAACACACATTGAATTCATTTATCAATTGTAGCCTTTATTTTGCCTAGGAGAGAAAAACATTTGACGATATGAAAATGGCATAATATCTGTAAAATGTTTGACTGTACCAATATTTACAGATAATTTGAGTGAGTATGGTTTTTACACCGCTTTTAGCAATATTCCAGCAATAGGAAGGTGGGGACATAGGAAATGAGCTTCACAAATTATACCAATGTGGGGAATCGAACCCGGGTGTTCGGCGTGACTAGCCAGCGCTTTAACCATGAGGCTATCCCACCGCCTGTTCATATAATAAGCTTGTGACCTTGTATCAGACCTAAATCAGAATAAAATTACCTATGTTTGCATTATTATTTCATATGGAGTATGTATGAGTATACACATGCTTAATACGTTTACCACAGTATATATCAAAAGCCATTAATGAAGTGAAATTAAGAATCGTTAAAGTGTCTCAAAATTTGCAAATATTATGAATTCAGGGAAACCCTGTTAGTCCGCCCCCCTGCTTTCCGGAAACCCCGCCTTTCGAAGTCGGTCTGTTCACGAAGCTGTATAAGAGCTGAGATTATCCTGAAGGTGTCGTAGCGAAATAAATATTGGCTAAGTCTATTCTCTTAACGCTGGGTTGTCTAAAGTTTACGACAAACTGTAAGACAGGGTCGAACCTGTCTAAGGATCTTACAGTCGACACCGGCATGAAACATGAGATCAACAGTTATCACCCATTGCTGTCTAATTGTTCATCTCTAAAAAGTGTATATATATTTAAATATATAAATGCAGACATGAATTTCAATCTAGGAAATTCCTTGAATAATCGATCGGACATTAGACAATTAAACCACCCCCACCCCAACCCCCAACCCCACCCCAAACTCCATCCTACCCCACCCCTTACCCACCACAACCCCTATCCTATTTTACGTTTGTCACAAAATAGCTCACCGTCATCGCTAAGATATGTGTCGTAAGTTAACGTTGCGATAGGTTTACGACAGCTTCAACAACAGTTCTTACGGCAGTCATTAATTCTGTCGTTAAGACTTGTCTCATCAAAGACAGCTTCATGATAAAGCCGCCAGCACTGCAAGGACATATACATAGATAAACAGGTTTCACCGGTTACAGGTTTAGTGAAGGATTACCTCATAGTAAGCCCAGAAGCCCCCCTCACGAGTGAAAGGTCCGGGAATGCCTTTGACAGCGGGAGCACCAAGGCCATAGGAACTAGAAGTTAGCTTGAAGCTGCGGCCGTACGATGCCAGTCCGACAACTATCTTGTGTTTAGGAACACCAGCACTGTGCCACCACTTGATCGCCTCACGCTGTGGAACAGAATCCAGATCAAAATTAGATGGTTAACTACACACCTTCAAGCCAGACATTTTTCATATTTTTTAATTTTAAAAAAATGTTTTTGTTTGAATGGTTATTCGATGGTGGTGGATGTGATACTGGTATCATAGTTGTGTTTTAGACCTTAAGTTTCCAATGTTTCTGCAACGGTTTTAAGCCTAGCAACGTTGGTAAAAAAATTGTCGGATCCAATTATCAAATTTGTACCTTTTTTGTACTTGTTTTGTCTATCAGTTTATAGCCATGTCCAGTTGGTTAGTTAAAATGTACAACTGTCGTATTGAATTATATTCCTTCAAATGCTTGTTATATTTTGCGCAAATGAATACAATTAGTGGATATCGACCTCGGCCCCTCGTGTCCTGCATGCATCGTTGAATAGCATCTCCACTTTGAACTCCAAGTCCTGCTACTTACTATATTGAGGTATTTGTCATCTCCATCCTCTACGGGGGACGCGCTGAGGGGACTGTTCTGTCCCACATTGTTCTCCCAGCCGCCGTGGAAGTCGTAGGTCATGATGCTGAAGAAGTCGAGGTAGCTGCAACCAGAGACGGAACATACCGTGAACGACGTCGGTAAGTGTGCAGAGTTTTAAGCAGTTATTTTGAATGACGAAAATTTGACCTACAAACTTCCCCAGTAAAAAAGTTGAACTTAAAAGTTATGTCAACCCTGTCTTCAAACAATTGATACTACAGCTCCTTAAATACCACTTAAATATTGTTTGAAGCTGTCCAATCAATCACCACCCAGACATCCCAAACCCCACCCCATACCCAAACCCAACCCCAACCCCAACCGCTCCCGTGCCCATATATACTTGTCCTCCAACAAGGTGAACAGGTGCCCTTACCCAGATGTCCTTAAGTACTAAAGAGTGAGTGAGTATGGTTTTACGCCGCTTTTAGCAATATTCCAGCAATATCACGGCTTCACACATTGTACCCATGTCGGGAATCGAACCGGTGTCTTCGGCGTGACGAGCGAACGCTTTAACCACTAGGCTACCCGACCGCTCAAGTACTAAAGAAGTTTGCCCGCGTCGTATACAAGGTCAAAAATACTGCTTAGGTAAAAGAGTGAATGAATGAGTGAGTTTGGTTTAACACCGCTTTGAACAGTACAGTATGCCTTGCCGAAACATAATCAGAGTGAAACGGGATTCAATCCCCAATCACAGGTTTCTGATGTGTCCAAGGGACGCAACTCTGCACAGGGACAACTGAACCACCTGTGCGCCATGGTTAGGTGAAAGAACTTGATGTTGACTGAACATTTCATCCCGTGGAGGATACCACATGTTGCTTTGACAGCACTCTACTCATTGAGATAAAAACATCGACTTAGGACATTCTTAAATAATTGCCCTCTTTAAATAGTATATACCCTCGAGTTTCAAGCTGAAATAACCAGTGTGAGACTCAGTGTCCACTTACTTGTTGAGAGCTGGAACTTCGTAGCCCACCTCCCCCTTGTATCGGCTGGCGGGGACTGCTGCTGTGAGGAGGAGGGGCTCTCTCCCCTCCTGCTGACTCTCCGTGATGAAGGCATCCTTCAGCTCCTGCAGTGTCAGTGAGTGAGTGAGTGAGTGAAATGTGTTTAACGCCGCCTTGAGCGGTATTTCGGTTCTATTACGGCAATGTGGGCGGAATGCCCAAAGTGATGCGAGACTTAGAGATGTTCACCACTTTTGTGAAACACAAGAGGTATGGTGCAGACAAACCTAGAAACATAATCAGGGCGAATCTTGTTCTTCAAGTGGCATTGGTGACAATGGTGAATGACATTTTCACAAACCGTTACCCCAGCAACAACCTCCTTGAATCTGTCGGACAGAGTTTACTGATGGAACAATCATAGTTCTGTGCCTTACAACTGACAGCGAATTGCTACCTGTTCCCGTCTCCTTCGACTATCATTCGACCTTCTGCCCCCGTGCAGATACGGGGTAGAATAGGTCTTCAGCAACCCATGCTTGCCTTTAAAGGTGACTTATTTGTTGTAGCAGGATAACAAGGGGTACGACCCGTGAAGATCCGGGGTAGAATAGGTCTTCAGCAACCCATGCCGTGAAGGCGACTATGCTTGTCATAAGAGACGACTAACGAGATCGGGTGGTCAGACTCGCTGACGTGGTTGATGCATGTCATCGATCCCAATTGCGCGGGTCGATGCTCATGACATAAATCACTGGAATGTCTGGTCCAGATTCGATTATTTACAGACCGACGTCATATAGCTGTAATATTGCTGAGTGCTGCTTGAAACAACAAACAAACAAACAAATCCTACAAAAGGCACAGAGGTACAAAACTCAGTGGAAATGAAATACATTTCCCGCGATACATGATTTTAATAACTGCCTTCTTTTCTTTTCTTTTTGATTTGGGGGGTGGCGGTGGGGGTGGGGGTGGGGGTGTATATCTCTCACCTTGCACAAGGTCACCAGATTACGTTTATCTGATGGTGTTCCCCCTCTCTCTGCCGGGTATTCCCAATCAATGTCAAGGCCATCAAAGCCGTTTGACCTCAGATAGCTGACAGTACTGGACACAAATGTCTTCCGGGTCATAGGATTGCCGGCCATATTGGAGAACTTGATGCTTCCGAAATTCCATCCTCCAATAGCTAGCAATGTCCTTAGCTCGGTGTTTTGTTGTTTCAGTGATTTAAATGTTTCAAAACTGAAAACCAAAGGTCACTTAGAAGGTAATGAAATTTGAAGAACTTCTCGACTACATAATCGTCAACAAAAAACACATTACATAATTTCTCGACACAATTTTCCCATATGATGTCCTCAAGCATATTATGAGGCATACTTCATTCTGGTGCTCATTTAAGCACAATGCATGTTTGGAATACAGATTTTCTGTTTCAGTGTGTGTGAGTAGGCTTTAACGCCAGTATTCCAGTTATAACACGGCGTGTCAGTTTAAGGTGCGAGCACAGGTAAGGTGCTGACAAACCTAGAAGCATAGTCGGGACGAACCGGGATTCGAACCACGAATCAGAGGTTATTGGTGTGCCTAAGTGACGCAGCTCTGCCAAGCGAATTGCGGTGTCTTAGATGACTCGGCCACACGTGTCCCCTGTTAACTTCAACCACATGAAGCACGTAAACATGTCCACACAGCAACCATTTCTTCACTGAGCATCTGAATCAGGAACACAGCAAGAACCGATGGTAGCCATTGGGATGTGTTAGAGAGTGAGTGTCATGGTTTCACGCCGCTTGCAGCAATTTTCCAGCCATACTACGGCGGGAGGCACCATTGGTATTCCCACATTCTATCCATGTTGAGAATCGAACCCGGGCCTTCGCGACGAGCGAACACTTTAACCACTAGGTTGCCCTATATTAGAAAACAAGGTAGTCACACACCCCACAGGCATCGGTGAACATGCGTCTTTTTAGCAATCTGTACACCAGTGACATTTAAGATCATTTTTTAAGTTTGTATTTATAATGACAAAGGTTAATAATGTATTCATAATGAAAAAGGTTAACTATTCCTCTTACTCTTTGGTGTCGTGATATTCGTCCAGTTTACGAATGTTTCCGTTGTCATCAAAGTCCCCAAAGGCAAAGATCAAGTGGGTGCAGAGGAACGGATCTATCTTATCTGCCGTGAACTTTGCCTGGCCAAGTCGGTACTTCGACCAGTTGGTGAAGTAACACACCCGTTTGTAGTGGCTACCTGTGTATAGAAGTAACCAACAATAAATAAATAACAAAAATAAATAATAAATAAAATAATAACAAAGACACACAAAGGCTTAAAATGATAATTATTAAATGTAAATTATTATGTGAAATGTCGGGCAAAATAAAGTGTACTCCGTATTCACACACAACAAAGGGTTAATGATGGTGATGTACATGATACGGGTATCATAGTTTATGATTTAGTCCTGAAGTTTATAGTGTTTCGGTGACAGCTTACGTTTGTAATTTTTTTAATTTTTTTCAAATGCAATTTTCAAGTGTACACATACAAAGATGGTCAGTTAAGTATTTCGAATAGTACATAGATGTTTATATGACCATGTCAAAATATTATCAGGTGGATAGACATATGCAAGGGATATATTTAAAAAATTAAACTATTCTCCTTTAAATGTTTTTACACTATTCATATTTAAAATTTTAAAAAACATGAAGTACTTGCCGCCATTCCAATATGACCGATAATGAGTAGGTATTTAGTAATAGTCTTACAGACCCTGGAACAAATATATCCCTGCGAGTCTATAATAGTTGGTAAGTCTATATTACTACAATTTCTGAAAATGAAGAAAGTCTCTTGACTCCTTTTTATTATATTTTATCCAGGTAATTTAATAAGCGTTGTTCCTGGGAAATATTTTCATTTCAGAAACGAGATGTTAGTCTGCAGTGAAATACAGGTCGGAAATATTATTAAAAGCAAATACCGTATTTGACGTAATAAGCGCCACGCTCTAACAAGCGCCCACGGCGATAGTTGCTAATATATTGGCTAATGAACAATCCCAGCTAGCATCCCTTCCGAATGACCAATGTACACAAGACTTATTTATTCGTGTAAAATACGTCTGTTATATGCATCCTTGATTATGGGAAATTAAATTCTGGAAAAATATATATGTCGTATATAAACATTTCAGGCTGTCAGCATAAACCACGAAATTTACGATCTTTCAACTCTGTTCTTTTTCACCTAAATAATGTTCTAATAAGAGCCCCCTATCTCAAATTTTGAGAGCGCCCTAGGCGCTTATTATGTCGAATACGGTATACAGTACAACAAATGTTATATATGTAGTCATATTTCTGTGTCAGGTTATTAATTACCCTTTTCATTGTTGCAAAACATGCTCACACATAACATTCCTGCTGATCTTGTTTGTCCCTTTACGTATTTAATAGCATCATAACTCAAGGGCTCATCATAACAGTAAATCTCAAACATGCCGTCATCATTTCCAACGTTTTTTATACGTGTATTCCATTATCACGAATCCAACAACGGAAAACGTCTAGCAATAAAAGGCACATATTTCCATAATTACACCTAATAAATGTCCCAACAATGTACAAAAAAAACGTCATATGATCCCCACTGTCCACCACGGCAAATGTGACCCACGGCAACACGTGTTCATATGACAAGAGGAAAGCCACCAAGCGCATTTAATAAACAAGTCGACGGGCTGCTGCGGTCACATAGATCTAAAGCAGCATAATTAGTTGTAACCAGGCCAGTGAGGTGAGCTGTGCTAGATTACGCTGTCAACACGGTCTTATGTTAAGATCGGACGAAAATGTCCCCTGTTGTCGTCTCGTCATGTAATATATGTTTCTTACAGTCAGAGCTGCGGCATATAGTTAGGTATTCGTGACACAGCCGTGTGTCCACACTTTATGATTAAATCATAACTTAGGGGTTATTGTGGTATTATTTTTTGAGTAAGCGTTTTTAATCATCTTGAAATAGTTGCCATTCTTTATATATGTGACGCATTGTACTCAAGAGTAATCCTTTTGTCCGACGAAAATCGGAGGATGAAATCCAGTGAATGTCAAAATTATTCTTTTTTTTCTTTTTCTTTTTGTTTTTCGTTTTCAGAACAGAGAAGTCTTAATATTAACATATTATTACAAGCTGGATGTGCTTGTTTGAAGCAGTGGGAGGGTAACTTACCCTGAGAAAAAACCTCCGTGATGCATATGGTCATCAAAACAAGGGCGATAACCCACTGCTGACCCGTGGTATAAACGTTCTGAAACAGATACAAGCGATCTTATGTAATCACAGGTGACAGATTTCAACGGTCAACGCGGATAATGCTGTCTGTGTTCCCAGCACGCGTCAACACAAATTAACTGAAGACATGTCAGTGTGCTATGGCAGAGTATTTCGGATTCGATTTGTTGTAATTTTGGTAGATTTTAATAATATGTTGGCTTCATATTAACTAAATAATATTGCCCGTGTTTTATAAACATATGCATGTAATAAGTATGTGAGTAAGACACTTATGCATGTGACTGTGCGATGTATGCTTCTGTTAGTTCACCCAGCAGTGAATGGGTACCCGGTAGAATGAATAGATAATGTCATTGTTAATCTTTTTGCGCCTCATGGGCAGCTTGCAGGGGTTGAGAATGGCATTAGTAGTAGTAGTAGTAGTAGTAGTAGTAGTAGTAGTAGTAGTAGTAGTAGTAATAGTAATAGTAGTAGTAGTAGTAGTTTGTTTGCTTGTTAGTAGTTAAATATTACAGCTGTGTGACGGCGGTCTGTAAATAATCGAGTCTGGACCTCACAATCCAGTGATTGATATCATTCGCATCGATCAACGCAATTGGGATATGATGACATGCATCAACCAAGTCAGGGAGCCTGACCACCCGTTCCCGTTAGGCGCCTCTTACGACAAGTATAGTCGCCTCTTACGGCAAGCATGAGTTGCTGAAGACCCATTCTTCCCCTGATCTTCACGGGTATGGCTTTTAAAAAGATGAGTGCATTTTGTTATGACAGGTCAACAAACTATTGTTAGATGAAAAATACATCGCGTATGGTTATCGTGCTATTGATGCTGAAATATATCCTTTTACATTTGGTATACGCTATCACGGGTACAAATCGAAATGTACAAGTGCCAAGCGTCCTTCACAAAGCTGGGAGGGTTTCCTCGTTATCAGTATTGTTACATTTAATACCATACTTCTAACGTGTATATTTAAGAGCCATGCCCCGTTATGCCCCGGGCATCATGGAGCCGGTGTGGCACAATACACTGACACATATGGCCAATAGGCCGACAGAGGACCCTTGTCTCAACACTGATAGACACTTACTTCGCCAGTTGCATGGAGATGTCATAATGTATCACGCATGGTGTCTTTTTAAGGGGACGGCCAATTATGGTGGGGTTGATTGATGAGAATCCGTGTCATTCCACAATTGCACACTTTTCTTTCTTTCCAGCCTCCACCTATCCTAATATATGAGTGATGCCTAAAGAAGTAGGGTGACACCCAGTACTAATGACAGTAAGGTGACACCCAGTACTAATGACAGTAAGGTGACGCCGGGTATTGATGACAGAAAGGTGACGCCGGGTACTGATGACAGTAAGGTGACACCGGGTATTGATGACAGTAGGGTGACACCGGGTTTTCATGACAGTAAGGTGACACCGGGTTTTGATGACAGTAAGGTGACACTGGGTATTGATGACAGTAAGGTGACACCGGGTATTGATGACAGTAAGGTGACAATGGGTATTGATGACAGTAAGGTGACACCGGGTATTGATGACAGTAAGGTTACATCGGGTATTGATGACAATATGGTGACACCGGGTATTGATGGCAGTAATGTGACGCCGGGTATTGATGACAGTAAGGTGACACCGGGTATTGGTGATATTAAGGTGACTCCGGTTATTGATGACAGTAAGGTGACACCGGGTATTGATGACAGTAAGGTGACACCGGTATTGATGACAGTAAGGTGACACCGGTATTGATGACAGTAAGGTGACGCCGAGAAATGGACAAATGGTACCACTTTGCTGTGTCACCTTATTTTCATCAGTTTCAGTAGATATTGTGGTTTTACGATGAAGCGGAATAATAACTTATATGAAATAAGACTCCCATAAGCATCTAGCGTTGGAATGAAAACATTTACAGTAGATACAAGATAAACAACCTATTACATTATATCCTAAATTCCCCTTATTCCACCCCCCACCTCCCTACACACACACACACACACACACACACACACACACACACACACACACACACTGTAAATGGCATGAGGGATAAAAATGGATGACCACGCCACGTTTATACAGTCAGTGTTAATGATATCGCCCGTGTTTGTGGGAAATATTCCCCTCAATGTTTGAACAGATATAATAACGTTAAACAGCAATGCATTAAACACCTACCAATTATAAATTTAAATAAATATAAATTTCTAGTTAGTAGAAGTCAACCAATGACAGATACATAAGGATTTATCCTGTATGCAACATAATGTTCGAGTTATCCGATGTTATAGTTAATCGGAACATATCCATGGAGAATCTTCTGTAGTAACTCTCAGAGACAATACTCCACACTGAAAACCATCCCTTCTGTATTACATATCTCCATTGCATAAAACTTTCTTCAAATGGGAGTTGTTTATTGAATGTTTCTTGAGGTCTCATGGATACTGGTTCCGTCGGGAAATTTGTAAGTTTAACATTGATATTGTTCTTACATATGCCTGTCACATATACTGACAAGACAACATAGTGATTCCTGCCATGAACTGCACAGTCTGGCCATTAAAGTGTCAAATACGAGTCGCGAACCGACCACACCAGGAACAAGCCTTTAGCGCCCTCACGAAGCCCTTAATTTTAATACATATTATATCTCATGAAAGCTTTCAATTCTGAATTGCTAACTGAACAGTTTATAAGAAACACTTTTGTTGCGTAAGTTGATACACAAAACAAGTCAACAACGAAAAACATTAATGTCTAATTGATTACATATGATAAACTTATTTTTTACTAATTTCATTTTAGAACGTATCACTGTATGTACTGTCAGTAAAATTACTTTTATGTCTTTCCAATATAACAAAAGGAAATGTTGACATGATGAAAGTTATAAACTGTATGCAAAAATTTCATATTTTAAACAATATTTTGACAAAACATCGCTCACCATGTTTATAGAGCCGCTGGTCCCTCTCTTCGCTTGTGTATGACGTCAGAGCTTGTCTCGTCTTCAGTTTATCTCGAGCAGCCGCGCGAGGTTTTATATACGCTATCTACCCACAATTCAACGCGTGACTCAATGTTTGCTGGGCTGAGTGACGGTTTCGTTTCGGAAGTAGATCTTGAGAGTCACTTTGTCATTTCCATCTAGTTTCCTGTCATACGTCACCGTAGCTGATATCGATACGTTAATCTTCATATTTGCTAATTCAGCACGTCAAAGAGATAAGTTTATGCTTCCCATCATAGGACAAGCAAGGGGCTTTTAAAAATGATGTTTAGACGAGGCCGTAACGCCGATTTCAGTTATTTTCTATGTACATATACAAAAATAAACACATTTGGCCGAAAGGAACTGATTCTGTTTCTGTCTGTGTTATGTTTGTTTTGTTTGCAGTCTATTTGTTAGTTTATTTGTTTGTTATTTCTCACAAAAATCGGCACTTGTTTGTTCTAGTATTTTTTTGTTGCAATACTGACAAAGAAATCACGTTCATATAATATTTTGTCAAAACAATTGCTGAATATTTTGATTTTGAAAGTGTTTGGGGTGTTTTACGTATCAGTAAACTAACGTTTTCAAGAACACTTTAGTTGGTAATGTATTTTTATATCGACCAATTTTACGAACAAGAGCATGTTTTTGTCACTGATTCGTGTTGGAAGGTGTTTAACAGGTGGTTCCGTTTTTGGACTATCGTGATTTTTTTCATGTGAAAGTATATATGATATTGACGTTTTATTGAATCGCATGGTCACTTGGAGACAAAACTGTCACTGAAGGTACCAGTCGACCTTACATTCCATCTTTGTCAGTGGGATAATCTACAGGTTAACGCGATCGCTCGTCAAGTACTGATTCCTCAGATGGTATAATATGTGTAATTAAAACATTAACGTACAGTAGAACATTGATCTAAAATTTGTATGCAATGGTCAGAAGAAATTGTATCTGAAATTATTATTTTATAAGAATAATATATTCCAATATCGTGTTATTTTAGTTACAGCATTCACTATATATATTTAAAATTATAAGAAACATATTCTTAGCAATTTGGTACAGGTGATTGCTATTGCCTGATATTTTTACGCAAGGAACATTTTGACCAGTCACCATAGGGAGTTCCCGCGCTGCACGTATTTCGATTGCGAAAACGTTATGTTGACATTTAATAGTAAAGCTGCCTCAAATATGACTTTTAACGAGTCAAAGTATGGCATTTATGATATATGTATCCATTCTCTTGCAACTGAAGTTCGTTTCCAGGCGTCAATAGCGGTAATCTGACCGTGGTTGCTGTAAATAACGGTGAGTTGTGCGATCTACCCATCACTTCAGACACGATTTCGCCGAAATTAATGTAAACATTATTGAATGATCAGCTGATAATATTTTTTGAGATGGGGAAAACATCGTGTCATTGAAAAACTTAAGTTCATTAAAAATGTATGTAATTTGGGAGCCATACTTTACCTCGCACTATAACCGAGTTAGCTCTATATTGAAGAGCGCAATAGCGGGGGAACACTGTAATTGCCGTATTGACTTTTATTAGCAATGTTTGTTTTACAGACAAGATAAGTCCAATTACATGGACAGGTAAGATTAACACAATGCAAATATAACAGCTAACGGTGCTCTCTGTTCGAGAAATGAGTGAGTGAGTTTGGTTTTACGCCGCTATTAGCAATATTCCAGCAATATCACGGCGGGGGACACCAGAAATGGGCTTCACACACTGTACCCATGTCGGGATTCGAACCCGTGTCTTCGGCGTGACGAGCGAGCGCTTTAACCACTAAGCTACCCGACCGCCCCGTTCGAGAAATGACACACGGTAAAGCGATCAGACCAACTCAACATAGCGGTGTTCCGCCATTTTAACAGCTCAGCAGCCCAAAACTTGGGGGACATGGCAACAGGATCCATGGCAGGCGTGGCTTCGTGACGCCCGCCGGAACTATGCTTTGCTGGAATCGTGCTTAGGCGGCGTAAAACTTTTCTCACTTGATAATACTTATGTTACTTATATATAGTGGTAGGCGAGGAACGTCATCAAGAGCCACATGAAATGCATAAATTTACATATATTAAAATAGTATATAGCAACTATAATAAACATAATATTAAATCAGATTCAACTTTGATATACTTTTTTTAGAAATCTCAACTATATTTTCTGTGAATTTTGTATTGTAATATATTGAGAATTGTTGGTACGTTTACATTACATAAAGTCTGCTACGTGTCAAGCTAATATAACATAAGAAAGAATATTGCCGATTGATAGATATGTATTTATAAAACCTATTATTGTTTGTCGTGATATATTCATCATGTTCATAAACCCCGCAACAACTACAAGAAACATTAAACAAAATGGGTGTGTTTCAGATTTAAAACAAATGTGGTTTGAGTGCATTAATACTCAGAAATATATTATGTATTTTGGCATTAGAACACAACTGCAGGGTTATGTAGATAATAAGAATGTGACATGTGGGTTCCCATAACGCCATCAAAAATATTAACGCGCGAGTCGGAGAATACAGCTAACGATTTTCTTCACTCTGTTTAATTTCAAATTATTGACACTGCAAGGGCTGGTACGAGAACTATAACAGCGCACGCATAGATAGAGTAAACAGCAGAGAGTAAACAGTAAACAAAGATTCTAAAAGGATGCTTTAACGCCTAAATGTTTGTCATCGTCAAACATGCAGGCGAGGTTGGTCAGATATTTGCATGTAAAACAAACTACATTGATGGCATGGTAAGTGTATACTGTTGCCCGTTTTGTAGGTATGTCCATACAAGCATTGTCCTCTTTTGTGTACGTTTTACAGGTGCCTTTTGTGAAGAGTAAGTGAGTGAGTGAGTTGGGTTTAACCCCGCTTTTAACAGTATTCCAGTTATATCGCGGCGTGTCAGCTTAATGTGGGAGGAAAGCCAGAAGTGATGCAGGTCTCAGACGTTTACCACTTCGGTGAAACCCAAGAGCACGGGTATGGTGCTGACAAACCTAGAAACATAATCGGGGCGAACTGGGATTCGAACCCACAATCATAGGTTTCTGGCGTGCCCAAAGGACGCAACTCTGCAGAGCGAATCGCGGCGCCTTAGACGACTGGGCCACCCGTGCCCCGTCTTTTGTGAAGATGCTGATTGAGTAGGGGTAACGCCACAGTATAAAGTATTTCAGGTATATCACTGCGTGTCAGTCTTGGGTGTTTAGAGGCGGTGGGGTAGCCTAGTGGTTAAAGTGTTCCTCGTCGCGCCGAGGATCAGGGTTCGATTCCCCACATGGGTACAATATGTGAAGCCCATTTCTTGTGTTCCCGCCGTAATACTGGTTGTCTATTGCTAAAAGTGGCGTAAAATAATACCCACTCACTTTGACCTTTACTATTCTGGTGAAACATGGGGATGGTGCTGACAAACGAAGGCTCCTAATCAGGGTGAATCTGAGATTCGAACCCATGATCATAAGATCCTGACACGCATGAGGGAGGCAACTGTGCAGAATGAATTGCTGTTACTTGGACCACTGGGCCACCTGCGCCTTCGTAGCAATGTGCTTCCACAATTTGATCGAAACAGTTACTTACAGAGAATATCTAAATTAAATTACGAAGAAAGATTGCCAACGCTATGGTGGTGCCCATAGCCACGTGGTTGAAGTGGTCGGTCGTCACTCCGAAGGCCCGGGAATCATGGGTGAATATGTAAAGTCCACTGCTGGTTGTCACCTGCCCTTATATCGCTGGAATATAGCTAAAACCGCCGTAAAACCATATTCGCTCAATCATATATGCTATTACCGTATTCGACGTAATAAGCGCCCAGGGCGATATTTGCTAATATATTGACCAGTGAACAATCCCAATTAGCACCCCTTCCGATTGATCAATGTACACAAGACTTATTTATTCTCGTATAATACGCACTCGTGTGCTATATTCACCCTGAATTATTTGAAATTAAATTCTGGAAAAATATATCTGTCGTATATAAACATTTCAGGTTGTCAGCATAAACCACGAAATTAAATTTATCTTTCAATTCTGTTTTTTTTCTCACCAAAGTAATATTCCAATAGGAGCCCCCTATTTCTAATTTTGAGAGCGCCCTGGGCGCTTATTACGTCGAATACGGTAACTTGAAACTTACTCAACTTAAACTAAACTGCTTCGGTGCTTGGAACTTATAATTTGATACATTTAGGCTTACTTTGAAAACGATATGTTATTTGATCTCAAGATATATAGCCAGGCCCTGTTTAGATATATACATGAATGACAAAGTGCTAATATAAAATTATAATGCCTATGATGTTTAATGTTAATAAGGGACGGTGCGGTAGCCTAGCGGTAGAAGCGCGAGTGGTAAAGCGCTTCGAGCCGAAGGCACGAATTCAATTCCCTATATAGGTACACTGTGTGAAACCCATTTCTGATGTCACCCGCCGAAGTATAATATTTCTATAAGATCAACTTATAGCCCTGTTCTGTCACGTGTGTTGACAATTCCGTGTTGTTATTATTGAGACAATTTCACGACATAGGTGCCAGAATCACCTACATACAGGCCAAATACTGTATGTGCCACCAACAGCAGACTGTTGGTTATAATCTGCCGGACAAACGAATGTATACACTTAAAAATTGGATTTGATCCAAAAATTACAAACGTTATTAAACGAAAACAAGACACCGAAACACTGCAAACCTAAGTTCCAAAACCGAAGTATAATACCCATATCAAATACATCACCATCGAATAACCAACCATTTCTGACTTGTTTCATTTTCAGCCGCCATCAAACATGGGTGTACAGTAAACTACGGTTATAACGAACTCGAAGGGACCACTAATTTTAGTTCGTAATAACCGTATTTCGTTATAAGCATATAAACAGCATTTAAACACAAAATAGTCGGGGCTAAAAAATAAGTTCGTTATATCGGTCAGTTCGTTATAAGCGTGTTCGTTATAAACGAAGTTTACTGTATACTTTCTTTTGCCCGTCAGTTTACTAATGAGCGAGTAGGATCCGGTTGTGTACATCACACAAACAGCTACTCCACAGAACCGTTA